CTGTTTACAGGTTAAGGATTCCTGACTTTATTGGCAAGCTATTTACAGGTTAAGGATTCCTGACTTTATTGGCAAGCTATTTACAGGTTAAGGATTCCTGACTTTATTGGCAAGGTATTTATAGGTTAAGGATTCCTGACTTTATTGACAAGCTATTTACAGGTTAAGGATCCCTAGCTTTATTGACAAGCTATTTACAGGTTAAGGATTCCTGGCTTTATTGGCAAGCTATTTATAGGTTAAGGATTCCTGACTTTATTGGCAATCTATTTACAGGTTAAGGATTCCTGACTTTATTGGCAAGCTATTTATAGGTTAAGGATTCCTGACTTTATTGGCAAGCTATTTACAGGTTAAGGATCCCTAGCTTTATTGACAAGCTATTTACAGGTTAAGGATTCCTGGCTTTATTGGCAAGCTATTTACAGGTTAAGGATTCCTGACTTTATTGGCAAGCTATTTACAGGTTAAGGATCCCTAGCTTTGATAAATTAGACACATGTGCAACTCTTGGGTATCTTTATTGAGGAAACGTTTCGCCACACAGTGGCTTCATCAGTCCATACATAGGAGAAACTTGAAGAACAGGAGGAGAATGAGGTAATCAGTCCCTCAACCTTGAGTCGATGTGTTCAGTCCATCAATCTTGAGTAGAATACGGCAGATGAGCGGAGAAGCAGCTTGTGAACCGTATGGCAGCAGAGGTGCAGCAGTCATAGGTGGTGTCACATTTGTTCAATGTGGAAGTAGGTTGTGCCCAAGAATTAGGCAAGCGAAGAATTCCTAAGTATTAAGATCCCAAGAAGTTGCAGTGTCTGACAGGTTTGTAGATGAATGGTTCAGAGAACCGACATGTTGATAAATTAGACACATGTGCAACTCTTGGGTATCTTTATTGAGGAAACGTTTCGCCATACAGTGGCTTCATCAGTCCATACATAGGAGAAACTTGAAGAACAGGAGGAGAATGAGGTAATCAGTCCCTCAACCTTGAGTCGATGTGTTCAGTCCATCAATCTTGAGTAGAATACGGCAGATGAGCGGAGAAGCAGCTTATAAACCGTATGGCAGGAGAGGTGCAGCAGTCATGGACTGAACACATCGACTCAAGGTTGAGGAGACTGATTACCTCATTCTCCTCCTGTTCTTCAAGTTTCTCCTATGTATGGACTGATGAAGCCACTGTGTGGCGAGACGTTTCCTCAATAAAGATACCCAAGAGTTGCACATGTGTCTAATTTATCAACATGTCGGTTCTCTGAACCATTCATCTACAAATCCCTAGCTTTATTGACAAGTATTTACAGGTTAAGGATTCCTGACTTTATTGGCAAGCTAAGAGCTGTTACCTACATCAGCTCATCTGAAAGCACTTTTATTGTTATGAGGCATACAAGTAGGGAACAGGATGAAGTTGGAGCCATCTGTGGGCCAGCATTTTCATTTGATCAACTGACTTTATCTCGTTGACATCATTATGCTGTATGAATGTGTTCCATACTCGAGTCATCCTGGGTATATATGATCTCAGAAGGAGTGATGTTCTGGAGAAGGGTACAGCCAGAGTGAAGTTGCTGCTTTCTGCCCGTCTTGTGGCATAAAAGCTTGTTTCACGCTGTCCTCGAAATGGATCCAAGTGTGGCACTTTGACAATATTGGCCTTGTACATAACATCCCAACTACAACATTGTACGTCTTACCAGTTTTGTAGAGAAGGGAGAGTTATATATCCTATAAGAATAGGGCATTGTTTATTTTTTCTGTCAAGGCAAAAAGTCACTACAAAAATGGTGTGTAGATTTTAAATGCTGCTTAAATCACAGTAAAAATTTCATTGAAATATGATAAAGAAAAAAAATATTCGTACCTCAGTGCACTTCTGAGAAGGCAGCAATTTTTCTTTTAATTTAGTCATTTTCTTTCTCTAAAATGTAAGTTTTTTTTTATGAAACATTTTTTTCACAGGTCATGCATGTCTAAATTTAGTTCATTCATGCCGGAAGTGCAATAATTTCTTCGAATGGATGGTACGATGGTTCCAAAGGCATTTACTGAAACATGGCCTTGTGGCCAAAGCTCTCGCTTCACGTGGCGAGGGTCTGGGTTCAATTCCCAGCGAGGGTAGAAAAAATTTTCTAGCAGATGCGATTGATACAATGTTATGGTCCTTGAAGGTGAGATCCTCTGACATGATCACTCCCAGGTCTTTGACGTTAGTTTTTTGCTCTATTGTGTGGTTGGAATTTGTTTTATACTCTGATGAAGTTTTAATTTCCTCATCTTTACCATATCGGAGTAATTGAAATTTCTCATCGTTGAACTTCATATTGTTTTCTGCAGCCCATTGAAAGATTTGGTTGATGTCCGCCTGGAGTCTTGCACTGTCTGCAATGGAAGATACTGTCATGCAGATTCGGGTGTCATCTGCAAAGGAAGACACGGTGCTGTGGCTGATATCCTTGTCTATGTCAGATATGAGGATGAGGAACAAGAGCTTTTCACCGTAGCCGCCTCAGACTTTACTCTGTTGACTACTACTCTTTGTGTTCTATTTGTGAGGAAATTATAGATCCATCTACCAACTTTTTCTGTTATTCCTTTAGCACGCATTTTGTGCGCTCTTACGCCATGGTCACACTTGTCGAAGGCTTTTGCAAAGTATATGTGTATATTACATCTGCATTCTTTTTGTCTTCTAGTGCATCTAGGACCTTGTCGTAGTGATCCAGTAGTTGGGACAGACAGAGGCGACCTGCTCTAAACCCATGTTGCCCTGGGTTGTGTAACTGATGGGCATCTAGATGGGTGGCGATCTTGCTTCTTAGAATCCTTTCAAAGATTTTTATGATGTGGATGTTAGCGCTATCGCTCTGTAGTTCTTTGCTATTGCTTTACTGCCCCCTTTGTAGAGTGGGGCTATGTCTGTTGTTTTTAGTAACTGTGGGACGACCCCAGTGTCAATGCTCCCTCTCCATAGGATGTTAAAAGCATGTGATAGGGGCTTCTTGCAGTTCTTAATGAACACGGAGTTCCTGAGTCTGGCCCTGGGGCAGAGTGCATGGGCATGTCATTTATCGCCTTTTCGAAGTCATTTGGCGTCAGGATAACATCAGATAAGCTTGTGTTTACCAAATTCTGTTGCTCTCTCATAAAAAATTCGTTTAGATCTTCTACTCTCAGTCTGATTAGCGGCTTGCTAAAAACTGAGTCATATTGGGACTTAAGTAGCTCACTCATTTCCTTGCTGTCATCTGTGTATGACCCATCTTGTTTAAGTAGGGGCCCAATACTGGACGTTGTTCTCGACTTTGATTTGGCATAAGAAAAGAAATACTTTGGGTTTCTTTCGATTTCATTTATGGCTTTTAGTTCTTCCCGCGATTGCTGACTCCTATAAGATTCCTTTAGCTTTAGTTCGATGTTTGCTATTTCTCTGACCAGTCTCTCCCTACGCATTGCACATATATTGGCCTCCTTTAGCCGCTCTGTTATTCTTTTCCGTCGCCTATAAAGGGAGCGCCTGTCTCTTTCTATTTTCAATCAAGGAATAAGCCTTGAGCATACAACGAGTGCCACAGAGTTAATCTGTTCTAGGCATAAGTTGAGATCTGTGTTGTTTAGTCTATCTTCCCAGCTTATATCATTTAGGACTTGGTTTACTTGGTCCCACTTTAAGTTCTTGTTACTGAAGTTGAATTTGGTGAAAGCTCCCTCGTGAATGATCCTATTTTGTCGGTTTGGGGCTCTGGGCATACATGTCTGAACCTCGATTATGTTGTGATCCGAGTATATTGTTTTTGATATAGTGACATTTCGTATCAGATCATCATTGCTAGTGAAGATGAGGTCCAGTGTATTCTCCAATATAGTAGGCTCTATTATTTGCTTGTTAATTTGAATTTTGTGTGAGTTCTCGTCTGAGCTGCCTCCTGGTGTTATCAATGCAACAACATTATTTGCTATATTCCTCCATTTTTAGGTGCCTTAAGTTGAAATCCTCCAGGAGAACATTGTTACAACTGATCCTATCTTTAATAATAATAATAATAATAATAATAATAATTTTACTACATGTACATGGTATACAGTCCTAGCTGACATCAATGACATACTACTATATAGAAAGGCGCTTGTTATGCTGAGCATTTCCGGCAAATTAGGTCAGTTTTGTCCCAGGATGCGACCCACACCAGTCGACTAACACCCAGGTACCCATTTTAATGATGGGTGAACAGGGACAGCAGGTGTCTTATGTTTTCTATGTTTTCTAGCTGTACCGGAGGAGATTCGAACCCTGGACCTCATTGTGTCAGCTGAGTGCCCTAGTGATCGAACTACGGGACACCAAATAGCAAAGGATCATAAGCAAATAATGAATATACAGAAGATGAAGACACTGGGACCGAAGACACGGGCTGAAGACACTTGGGCTGAAAACAACAGGAGTTTTTAAGAAGCGAGCCTTGATATAATGAGCCAAAGCTGACAGTTTTCTATATACAAACGATGTTAGTGTAAGATATTAGATTTAAAGGTAATCATTGCAAAATTATATTTAATTTGCAAGAAAATAGAGGTAAACACTAGAAAATACAGGGAATAATGCGTACATTAGATAAAACATAAATTGCAGGAGAATATGTACAATAAGCTGCAAATGAAAATAGTTTAGTTAGTAACAATGTAAACGCGGAAATAATACACTTCAAAAATCTGTGCAAATAACTGAGATAATGACTCGAGGTTTTAACTGGCAGTGTTAGTATAAATAATATCGCCAAGACTTAACACTGAGTGAATAAGTAAATTGTCGCTTGAAAACACTCGGCTAGCAACAATAATTAGCTGACAGAATCAGAATTGCAAAAATGTGCATAAACTAGTGGGAAAGTAGTACAATTAATAACAACAATGTTGGAGCAAGAAATGTGTGTGAATGCTTACATAAAAATTTTTTACAGTGCAGCTTGAATCGAGATACAACAATGAGTAATCTTTTAGTTCAGCAGTGGCAAACTCGGGGCAGGTAATGACTGTTCTCAAGTGTTCCAGAGAGTAAAGAAAACTCGCCACAGAGACGTTGAATCTAGAAACCTTCTTCAGGTATACTCCAGGCTACGTTAATTAATAGTCCAAGGTAACCCAACTGACTACCAAGCTGTGTGGCTCGTTTCTGCTGGGGTCTTGTCGGTACTCTTCCTTAGGATGTCGACCAGAATTGCTGTTTCTGGGTGACATGTAATAATAATAATTTTATTTCTATAAGTACATATACAAGTTATACAGTCCTAGCTGACACCAATGAAATACTACTATATAGAAAATCTGCTTGTTATGCTGAACATTTCGGGCAAATTAGGTCAATTTTGTCCCAGGATGCGACCCACACCGGTCGACTAACACCCAGGTACCCACTACTGATGGGTGAACATGGAGAACCGGTATATGGAAACACGCCCAATGTTTCTACCCTCGCCGGAATCGAACCCGGACACTCACCGTGTGAAGCTAGAGCGTTTGCCACCAGGCCCATTGCCTGGTAGCAAAAGTGGCTATGTGGAGACTTGCTTGTAAGTCTTGCCACACCTGCCTGAAAACATCTGCATAGAAACATTTAACGTGGACAGTTTCTTTGTTAAGAACTGCAGTATGTGCCCCTGTTTGTTTTCCAACCTGCCCTTATAATGATAACGTCGATTTTCTTAAAAAAATAATAATATTCACAGATTTTGCACCTCGAGTACCGAAAATAATGAAGAGTTCTATGTTGTGTTGCTTCTTATTTAGTGTCTTTTTCGAACGGTAAAGAATTCGTTAGTAAGTTATTATTTAGGTTTCATTTATAAATCAATTTTTGTAATTGATCCCCTCAAGGAAGGTTCCTTGATGTTGGTGAGGGGCTCTTGATTTAGGGAATTGGATCTGTGCTCCAGTTCCCCGAATTAAGCCTGAATGCCTTCCACATCCCCCCCCCCCCCCAGGCGCTGTATGATCCTCCGGGTTTAGCGCTTCCCCTTTGATTATAATAATAATAATTTGTAATTGATCTTGAAAGCACAAACGTGTTATTGGCAGGCATATATATTTGTTGATTTTTGCCTACTGTAAATAAGTCACTTTGACTTTTTTGGGTTATCCCAGGATCTGTACACATATGTTACTATGTATGATAATCTATGTAACTATTTATGTATACCTGAATAAACTTACTAACTCAACAAAACAGAATAATAATAAGTAAGAAAGTAAGTAAGTTTATTCAGGTTCAGGTACACATAAATAGTTACATAAATTATCATACATAGTAGCACATGTGTAGCTTACCTTGGATAACCCCAAAAAAATCCAAGTGAGTTTTTTTTCTCTAAATTCTGTGCATTATAAGAGCTTTGAAAAAACTGCAACTACATAAGATTTTAGAACTTCCATATCCCCATATATCCACATTAATGTATTATTTTTGTAATAATACAAAAGAATATTTTCGGTGTGTGTGGTGAGTGTTTAGCAGTGTTAGAGGCGCATGTGCAGGTGGTGGGAGCTACAACATTGTTCTTCCTGCACTACACTCTATTATTACCTCAGATCTCATTATTACACTACTTCTCTCTCATACACCACTCATAACACAGGTATTGTTGTATTCTTGTAGCGTGAATGTTGCAAAATGTCAGGTTTGTGTTGGAAGTGTTGTGGAAGGTGCAGGTGTGTGGCCGGGCATGGTATGAGTATTACCATTAAAAAAAAAAGTTCACAGAATATCTAGGTTATTAAATATTTATGTAGATAACACACCACTTGGGTATCTAGGACAATATCCTTAACATTTATATTCCAGACTACTGTGGGACTGCAAGAAGAATGACAGTACTTGATGAAATTTTATTATGTTTACGAGTGTCACTATTTTTGGGTATTGCCAAGAAAATTAACTAATAAGGTATATTTCAGCATCTTTTGAGGAGACGGCACCCATTCTTGGGACTGAGGTTAATATATAATGATTTAGACAGTTATTAAATGAGTGGCCATATGGATAGCCTTTCTGTCAAGAACCCTAGTGGAGAAAAGTCAGATAAGATTTCAATAGGAGTTTTAACCCTGAAGGGTTAGCTACCCAGGATGACCCAAGAAAGACTGTGTCATCCAGGGTCTGTCTGATTTCCATTAGGGTCCTCAATCTTGTCCCCCAGGATGCGACTCACACCAATTGACTAACACCCAGGTACCTACTTACTTGCTATCCCACAAGGAAGGTTCCTTGATGCTGGTGAGGGGCTCTTGATCTAGGGAATTTGATCTGTGCTACAGTTCCCTGAATTAAACCTGAATACCTTCCACATCCCCCCACAAGCGCTGTATAATCCTATGGGTTTAGCGCTTCCCTTTGATTATAATAACAGTAATACTTGCTAGGTGAATGGGACAATAGGTGTAAGGAAACATGCCAAGTGTTTCTACCCTTGCCGGGGATCGAACCATGGATGGTGTGTGTGAAGCAAGAACATTGCTTACCAGGCTACGGTCAATGTTTTATTGGGCTATCCTAGGTTAATTGTAAAGAATGTACTTCTCTTAAGGCAGGTTTCTGGATGAAAAGTAAGAGGGTTCTTGATCTAAGGAATTAAACCAGTGGCCCATGGCCTGGTAGGCAATGCTCTGACCTCACAGTTTCCATGGTTCGATCCCTAGCAAAGATGGAAACATTGCACATGTTTCCTTACAACACTTGTCCCGTTCACCTAGTAAACGTTAGTTGACTGGTGCGGGTCACATCCTGGGGGACAAGATTGAGGACCCCAGTGGAAATAAGACAGTCCCTCCATGATGCACTACCTTTCTTGGGTTATTCTGGGTGGCTAACCCTCTAGGGTTAAAAATCTGAATGAAATCTTCCCTTCTTTGGAATGGCCTCTGAATGCCACCTCTTCATCCCACCCCGGGGGGGGGGGGATTCTATCAATAATAATACTAATAACAATAATATTAATATCATTATTTCTACAAGTACATGTACAAGGTATACAGGTGTAGCTGACATCAATGACATACTTCTGTATAGAAAATTTCATGTTATGCAAAGCATTTTAGGCAAATTAGGTAAATTTTTGTCCCAGTATGTAACCAACACCAGTCGACTAACATCCAGGTACCCATTTTACTGATGGGTTTACTTGGACAACCGGTGTAAGGAAATGCCCAATATTTCCACCCTTGCTGTGAATCGAACTCGGACCCCTCTGTGTGTGAAGTGAGAGCTTTGCTAACCAGGCCACGTGTCAATAGTAACTCGAGCAAAAAATTGCTGTTTGATTCCCAAGCAGATGCCAGACATCACATACCCATACTCTTCATAAGTTGAAGAGTGGTGGCATTTGTGTGAGCATTATCAGTTCAGGTTGAAGTATATTCAACATACAAAATATTCATTCATACAGGACAATTGACACAAAGGTTAACCCAGTGCTGAAACTTTCTGGACACCTGCAATAGAACTCTCAAAGTGGTAGAAACACTTAAATATGGGTGGGGTCAATGGGCTTTAAATGTTGGTGAGTTGGAAGCTGGAGGCATTGGATATGTTACGTCTGAGAGCAATGTGTGGTGTGAATATTATGCAGTGAACCCAATGTGTAAAAATTAGACGAATGTGTAAACGTCACCGAGAGTATAATTCTAGAGTGCAGAGGAGGGGCTGAGGTGGTTTGGACACTTAAAGAGGAAGGAGCAGCATAGGATAAATCAGAGGGTATATAAAGCAGGCATGAAAGGAAAGAGTGGGTGTGGTTGTCCCAGGAAGCATTAACCCTTTGAGGGTTTTTGTCGTACTAGTACGTCTTACGCGTAGGGGTTTTTGACGTACTAGTACTCATAAATTCTAGCGACCTCAAATCTAGTGGGAGAAAGCTGGTAGGCCTTCATATGAAAGAATGGGTCTATGTGGTCAGTGTGCACAGTCTAAAAAAAATCCTGCAGCACACAGTGCATAATGAGAAAAAAAAAACTTTTTCCATTTTTTTTTAATAAATCAGCGACTTTGCAGTGTATTTTCGTATGGTATTTATTGTTGTATTCTAGTTTTCTTGGTCTCATTTTATAGAATGGAAGACATATTACTGAAATTGAGATGATTTTGACTGGTTTTACAATGAAAGGTGCCTTGAAATTGAGCTCAAAGTAGCAGAAATGTTCGATTTTTACCAAACTTCAAAAGTAAACAAATCGTGCCAAGCGTGCAATACACGTCAACTGGTGAGTCTAATATTCTTTCACAAGTGCACCAATAATATTTATACCATTTTTTACACTAATGCAGTAGTCTGCATAACAGTAAATCTTATATTTTTTGTGAGAATAAAAATTCAAAGTGGAAAGCAAAAGAATATAAGAGGGGCCTTGAGACGTGACTAATGACTAGAGGAAATGTCATTTTAGTGCCAGGAATGTCTTTCTTGTTTATTCTGGACCCTATTCCGAAATTGGCATCTTTTGAAATTTGTGTGAAATTGGCAAAATTGCTAAATTCTGACCACTGTACTGGATAGTTGAATTTATAAATGGGTGGTTTCTTGCACCCATTCGATAGAAAAAATGGAGTTCTAGCGAAATATTCATGTTTTTTGTCGACTAGTACAGTGAAATTGGCCGAAAATGGGGCTCAAAGTGGGCAAAATCGCCGATCCGTAAACATCGCCGAGACCGCTAACTTTGCGAGAGCATAATTCCGTAAGTTTTCTATCAAATTTCAAACTTTTGGTGTCGTTATGATCGGGAAAAGATTCTCTATCTTTTCATAAGAGAAAATAATTTTTTTTTTTTTTTAAATTTGGCCGACCCTGAGAACGAGTTTCGGAGAGGGCCTGTCGACCCTCAGAGGGTTAATATTAAAATTACATTTTCAGAAACCTTAGTGGTGTAGTTTCAGACATGCGAAAAAGGTGCCAAAAAGTTTTGACATTAGCTGGAGTGAAATGCAAGTTTGTAGTTGCAGAGTTGTCAATTTTGTGAAAACATGTAATTTTTATTACCGTTGACCATTTTAAATACAGTGGAACCTTGGTTTTTGTATGCCTTAGTTTGTATGTTAAACTGTAGTTTTCCTCCATAAAATGTAATTTTTGTTAATATTTTTGGGTG